AACATACGTATTTATTAGGGATGAAAAGGGAAGGAAGGGAAGAAATGTTTCCTGTAAGAGCACATGCGTGTGCAATATGTATTATCTGGGAGATAACTGATGATTATGCCAAAGAATATTTATTTAAATTGAACTGGCCATACAAAGTATTGTTTGCCTTGTTTCTCAAAGCATTGCTGTTACTAGTACTTAGTAATGGTTCTCACTTTTCCTCTGGAGGAGAGAAATTCTGTGGTCCTTGATTGATGTACAAAAAAAAAAAAAACAATTTTAATTCAGCTATCGACATAGAACAGCAATGTGTACTGATCTTTTATATTTGCCATGTAAAAAAATGAATATTCTGTGCAGGGAAACATGCCTAGATTGTAAATTTTGAAGTGCCAGTCATCTTTCCTGGAAAAATTTATCATTTTTAGGCTGTGTAAAAAACAAAAACTCTTGGTTGTGTTAGTCGAAGATGACAGACTGCATCACTTACTATCTCAGTGGGCTGAGGTCATTTTTTATGAAGAAGAAGAATGTGGAGTACCTGATAGTATTTTTATCTACTTAAAGTATAAGAGTGAAGCAGTTGCATCTGTTTTTAAATGTGTTTCAAGCATTGTTTTTTTATTTCAGTAATCATAGCATACAGTTTGGCCAGACTGAATAGATTTGTGCCAAAATTTAGCATACTTTTATGTACTCCAAAAATGCCATCCAGAATCAAACAAATTTTTAAATGCCTATCAAGCCCTGTATATTAAATGCTGCTTAACTAATGTAATTGAAATACGAACTGAACTTCCAATGATATGAAACCTAGTACTCTTATGGAAAAAGTCTACCTCAAGCTATGATTATTTCTAACCTGCCATACAGTAATGTGTATTGATGTATTTGAAGTACAATGTACGGCCTGTAAAACTGACAGAAAATGTGAAGGGATGTTGAAGGACTGTGCTGATCCTTCAGTCTGACTTTTATACTGTGGCCCTTGGTTTACTTTGTTGGGCAATATCGGTGTATGCTGTTCATTGCTTTCGTGATTTTATTGTAGTAACTATTACTGTGATTTCGTGATGAAATCTTGTTATTTATGTGTTATTAAAGTACTTTACTATGAATTAAGACTAAAAATTTTGGTCATTAATAACCCATGAAATGCATGCCAGTAAAGCTCCACATGTTCAAGGTCTGTTTTCACCTTAGGAACCAAATCCAACTGATAAAAGAGATGATGGAAATGACCATTTCTCTTTAGAGAAAAATGAACTAGAGCAAATAGTAAGGAGTAAAGCTTTTATTTCCAAAGTCAATGTGTCATGTACATAATAAATCTGATTTACTGTGTACCCAGGATAAAGGGCCAAACAACAAAATGCACTACTTACAAGCATTCACAATAAAAGCATGAGAACACATGACTCATGATAAAAAAAAAAGTTCAACACTGTCAATTAAAATGATTTTAAAGAATGTCTGACCGCATAACACATACAGCTACTGCTCCAATCAGGTATGCTCTGGAAGAAACCGAGGCTTTACTTTAAACCCCAAAATGCATTCTCTACAAAGTCTAAAGTTCCACATTCATATCAGGAATGGCAAGATCTAGATTCAATAGAAATGGACAATGATTTTTGTACACTAAAATACACACGTACCACCTGAACCTTTCATATGGAAAACCAAATTACATACTAGACAAAACCATTTAGAAAGAAGTCGTTTGGAATATAGTCAAAATTGATTTAATCAACTGTCAGTAAGTCAGAAAGTAATTATTGAATAAAATGAAAAACATGTGGAAAAGTGAAAAAAAGTTTAATCTTCTTCCTTCTTCACATCTTCAGGAGACTTATCACCATTATCCTTGGGAGTCATGCTGCGAGACTTGGATCTGCCTTTGCTCACTGATCGAGAATGTGAACGATCTCGTTCCCTACAGAGAAAATGGCAGGATTAGCAAAATAGGATTAAATTAGCTACATTTTAAAAGGTGGTCTCAAGTTTAAAATAAAGCTACACAGATATTAGTTCAAAAACTAAAATAAAAAGGCAGGTGACTGAAGTGTCTTGCACAATATACGTATGGGAAAATGACAGATATAGCATCAAACAAAACATGCTATTAGGTCAGTTGATATTGTCGTAGTACAAACATTAACTGAAAAAGGAGAGACCACCAATTTGTTTTGCCAGAGTGGGCTCATACTCACTTGGATAATGATTTAGCCTTGGACTGGGACTTGGAATGAGACCTGGACTTTCTGTCCTTAACAGGGGAGCGGGAGCGAGACCTCGACCGGGAATGGGCAGATCTAGCAGAGCGAGAGCGAGATCTAGAGCGGGACTTTGACTTAGAACGTCCCCTGGATCTGATAAAAACAAAAATTGCCAAGTTAAAATCATATAAAAAATTATATGAACAGAAGGTGTAAATTGAATGATAAGGTAAGATGTATCTTGTAAATAGGATGTGCAAGTGAATTCATTAACAATAATTACTCTAAATAGGCGACAAGTGGAAACACTTACTTTGATCGGGAACGAGACTTTGAACGAGAAGCAGACTTGGACTTGGACCTGCTACGTGAGCTGCGCCGACTGCGAGACCTGACAAGACATTCAGTTAAATCAATGATACACAGAAAAAGAAATGCAAGAAACAATTTGAAAAGGTAGAAGACCACTTACCTAGACCTGGATCGAGAATTCCTCCTAGATCTGGACCTAGAGCGTGACCTTGAGCGGGATGATGATGATCTTGTCCTGCGGCGGCTTCGGCGATCTTCAATCAGGCGAATTCTTCTTCCATTCAGTTCTGTGTCATCCAATTTCTCAATAGCTGTCTTCATATCAGAATATGAAGCAAACTCCACCACACTGGATAAGAAAGGGTAAGTTAGTACCTTTCAAATAAAGAAAAATCCAGACCAAGTGAAAAAAACAAACAAAAAAAACCCTTACCCCTCATTCCTACGCTGCTTGTGGGCATCAGCATAAGTAACTTCACCAGCTTGACGCATGTAATCCTTGAGGTCCTGTGCAAGCATTCATAAAAAGAACATTAGAAAATCATCACATGGGGAAGACTAAAAAAGGTTCCTAATTAAGCCTCTTGAATTTTAATAACTTGGTGTTTAGCATTTAACTAATTTTGAGAGAGCTTTGACAATTGAGTCTCTTTGAAGGTAAATGATTATAATGTTGGGGAGATAATAAAATCACCCCAAAATGATCTAAAATTAATTGGACAATTTGAAGTGTACTCATCCTCAAACTGCCAAAAATAAAAATAACCTGGAAACCAGAAAGCTCATGTGTATCTGACGTCTATGAATTTTGAATAGCTGCATATTGCAAATAAGGCAAAAGAAAGCTTATATACAGTGCTGAACAACTAGGCCCTGACTTTAAAACCTGACAAGGTCCATGTCCAAAATTAGGGCACGCCGTAGTGCAAATTTTTCCACATTAATGATTGGAAGGATGCAAGCAGCTGTTGGCCCAAGGTTCCATCAGAGACTTCCTAGTGAAACAGCATGTCTTCATATTGGTAGGTATTCCAGTGGACCTCCTCGTATTGGACCGGCTATGACTCTTCAGACTTCTTCCATGAGAGATTTCAAGTAGTATGAAGATGTGCATTCCTCCATAGATTAGGTCTCTAACGGCGTCCCTCAGGTGATCTTGGGCTTCCCAGACTGAGGCAGAAATGTAGATAGGTCTCCTGGATGAACTCCTGTTACTCCATGGGCAGTGCTCCAGGGTGAACGAGGTCTTCAACGAGAATCCATGTCGCTCGACTAGGTGGCAGATCTTCCTCAAGAGTAAATCCTCAGAGAATGATGTGGTCTTCAATGCTAAATGAGAAATGATTGGTTCATCAAACATACCCTCTCTAAGGAAGAACTTTTATTTGAAAACAAGCCAGTATTTTTAAGGCATAGTACCAATGAAATGGAGAAAAGATTATTTCAAAGTACAGTATTCATGACTAAAACATAAAAATTTCAATAACAAAACATTAAAGATGATTTAATGTTAACATTATAATTGATCCTAGAGAGGGGTCTTAAATGAACACAATATTACTTGATATTATTTCACTTCAAAGAAGGAACAAAATCAAGTAGCCAATGCACCTAATTTTGGACATGGATGTGCAACACAGAGTGTCTGTGTTGTCTAAAACAACCAAGAGGAAAAAAATGATAGAAAATAAAAAAAAAAACAGTTGAGCATGCTAGACCCCTATAATTAAAGATGGTCGTTGAAAGGTGTGTTTACCTTGCGACCCGGGACCCAGGCCGCGGGGGGAAATCGAGCCACACACACCAGAGGGGAGGAGAGGAGAAGGTCCTGCTGCCTGCACCGCCCATACCAACATCTACGAGAAACCGTGAGCCGAAGCCGTCGCCTGCCCTAGAGTCTTGACCATCCCGATCGGAACGGATCGGATTGGATCGGCGAAGGGTTGGTGGAACGCCATGCCTCGCCTCGTCTCGCCACGCCTCACCACACCGGTGGTAGGTGCCATGGTGCTGCCCTGCCAGGCGCAGGCTCGGTACGGGCTGGCCAGCCCGGGGTCGGACGGTGGCGGAGCCAAGCGGAGCTGGGCTTGGGGTCTCAGATCCATGGACGCTTGCTTGGTCGCTTGGCTCGCTGGCCACGAGCTCCACCACGCCACCTCTCTCATAGCATCGAGTCATTAGGAAGCCCTACTGCGTGGCTCAGGTCATCCCTCCAAGGAGAAGCCAAGGCTCTTTTGGAAAAAACACGCCAAAGTTTGTTTCTTTTTAACACAATCTTTCAATGTGTGCACACCATGAAGTCAAGCTGAGTGGGCTTTAAACGGGTAAATCAAGATTTGTTGATGCAAGCCTAAAGACTTGCAATCAAATGAGCAAAGAAAATAAAAACTAACAAGAAGAATTAATTCTACATAGCTGATATTAAATATAGATGACAGTAAGATCTATTCGTCATTGCGAAAAAATTTAAATATAACAAGAGCATGATAGAGAAAATTCAAATGAGAGTTAAAGCCTCACTCAGCTGACACCACAAATCAGTTTCAACTAGCAAAGTACTAGTTGAGCCATGCCAGAAATCCATCTCATTCCAGGAATGAGGAATCTCCCAAAATTCTCCAAAGAAGCTTGATCCAAGAAGATTCAGCATATCTTGATTTACATTCTTTTCCAGTCACCAATCACAGAATGTTGATGAAATAGGCTGTATGAAATGAGTCATAAAAAAACAACATAATTTCTTACCTGCCAGCTGACCCTGCTAGAAAGATTCTCCACAGTAAGACGGTATTCTGTTCTTGTTGGGGGACCATATCTGTAACAGGATACGAGGGTACACATATTTAAACAATCCTGAGGTGTCTGCATCAATTACTTCAATAATTCAAAAGATTAGCCCTATAATGCTGATTACTTCCTTTGATATCAAATACCATTGACTGGTTGCATAACATGGAAGTGATGACAGCATTAGTTAGGACATGATGAAAATGATTAGAGCGCACCTCAGGAGGTAACGGAAAATTGAAAATAAAAATCTACTCTACCAAAATACTTTTTCAATAAGAAAAGTAGACCCTAAGCCCATGTATTAAGAAATAATTGCCATCATGGGTAGTGTAACAATACAAGAGTGAAAAGAAAAATTTAGAGCTTCAAAAGTCATGTTAAATACCAAGTTTTTTGACATGCAGAGAAACTTGGCTGTGCGTACAAGCGCAAACCAGGGGTAGAAAGGTGATTAGAATCTGACATGCATAAAACTAGAACTTTGCCTTGAGCATAGGCTCGTAACTAAAATTTATTTTCTCTATTCAATACTCTGGGAAACCATGCATTATGGGCAATTAGAAACAAGGACAGTGTATTAGAAGAAAAAGATTCCGGAAGGCCCACTACAGCACAACACACACAAGTGACAATCCGAGACCAAGAATTGGCTTCAGTGCAAATGTAACTACAACAGAAAATGAATGAAGCAGCTGAACAAAAACTGGTCGGGATAATGAAATGAGACCAGTTTTGAACTTAGAATGAACTTAGACAACAGGTATTCAAAATCTTTACCTGTCGGACATCCGGTGATCGTTATCTCGACTGAAAGTGAGAAAAATAGAATTAGCACAATTGCGCAAAATAGTAATACTCTAATATACGCAAGAAAAATATTGATTTCCAAAAGAAGCTAGTGTGATAGGATTTTATATCCATCTATGCCAAAAATTACGTTGCATGCGGTAAAAAAACTGAATAATGAAGGAGTTTGAAGGATGTAAGTACTGAAGCCAGCCCTGGATGCCACTCCCCACCCTTTCTACCCCTTTTCTTTCCGTCAAACCTCCAGCGAGCACTCCACATCGTCAACGTCATCGCTTCAACGCATCGCTCGTCCGTCTATCCGCACGGCTCGCGGCTCGCTTACCCCCGGCTTCGCCCTCCCGAGGAGACAGGGGGCGGGCCAAGACTCCGGCCGCTCCCGCTCCCGGTCCCGCTCCCTCTCCAGATGTCGCTACCTCTCGGCGTTCCACGCGCCCTCTCTACAGATACTCTGCAACAACAATGGGACGCTCTGCTCAGCTAACCTGTCAGCCCAGGAGCGCCGTCGGCCGAAACTGCTACCACCGCTACCTCCAAACCGGTCCCGGGCACGGGCTGTGCCCCGCGCATGCTCCACAATCACTCTGGAAACACAGAATATTCGCCGACATTAGCGCAAGCTGCCTCCTCTGCGCCGCCTGCTGCATCTAACCTGCACAGAACACCGACAAACAACGACAAGAGCACATGCAATACAAAGGAGCTAAGAAACCAAAAAAATACTCGTTTAAAAAATTAACATGCGTATAGTAAGAAAAGGTTTTGCAAACATTATAGATCACTTGGCTAAAGAGGAAAACATGACATGTCACCAAACCTGGACACAAAAAACATTAACATGAAAAAACAACAGGTTAGTCAACATATAACTTAAAATTATCGAGAATTGACAATGTAAAACATTCAACATTAGTAAATTCAACAGTGAATGAATAGAATTAGAAAAACGAAATCTTACCGTTCTCCCAACAGCTCCTTTCCGTTGAGTTCATACACAGCATCATCAGCATCTCTGTGGTCGTCAAATTCCTGAGAGACAATACATGAATCAGAGTACTGAACAAGATCTATCCCAAATAAAATCAAAAACTCCACCACAAATAACTTACCACAAAGGCGAATCCATTTTTCATGGCAATCTCCTTTATTCTGCCATATTTCCTGAAGAACCTCTCCAAGTCTCGTTCCCTAACTCGGTAGGTTAGGCCTCCCACGAACACCCGCGTACCCATTCTGCAGCAAATAAATGTGATGGATGAAAAAAAACAACATACTATACAGCACCTTGCTATAAACCCGACATAAACGCTGAATAACTATGAATTAACGGAGTGTGAGGTTAATTTAACAGTTAACAAATATTTTCACAACGGAAAGGCCTAACGAGCCGGCTTCTGTAAGCCGAAACATTCACAACAATATGGAAACAAACGAAGTAAAATGAGCATTAATGATCCACTCGTGTACTTAACTGATAAATGCGAATGGGAATGCGAACAGAAAATTGTAATCTGAAGTAACAGAACTTCACATTTAGAACTGAAATAGCGATGATGCGACAGTGGCCTGACACTGAAAATAGGGTGGGTTACAACGGCCGGCTACGAATCGTTATGTAAATCGCCGCAAAGTAAAATGTGAGTGGCCAAAAATAGAAAAGAATTTACCTTGATTTTCAAGTGTAGAGCTGGACGATGGGAAAGAAGCTTCACTTGTGACGGTAATCAGCAAATTATCTCTGTTACGATGTCCAAGGACGCCATGCACGAACTCAATTCTGCCGGAAATGGGGTTTACATTTTAACAATCATCCGACCGAAGTCAAAATGACTACTTTTTTAACAGTTTCTAGCGGCGCCTGGTAAAATAACCACATTTCTGACACACAAAATTATGCTACAATCTATTTTATATTTTAATTTTGCCTTTTTGGTGCGGTTTTCTTCAAGAATCGTAAACTCTTGAGGATATTTCTAACAAAATGGTTACGGCATTGACCGGAAATCCCACAGTAGACAACGTGTAGCCTCCAACCCAAAATCTTATTTACGTTTTATCCTTTACACCACGGATCGTCCAATTTACTTTTAGGAAAACGTCCTTTATCCCCACAAATTTGAACCTCTTTCATATTACACGATTAGTGAAGAATAAATATTTATAGGGCAGCATCAAAACAGAAGGATTCCCGACATTACAGTTCTTTCTCTGCTAATGGCGCTAATGGCGGTCGCTCTTCGTCTGATGCCAAACATTAAAATCAACATGGCCAGGACTCTCGGGGAACTTTGTCATCTCACACCACCCACTTCTCCTTCACCAGTCTTCACGTGCCATAGCGTGAATGTATCTTAAAACTTGTGTTACAGGTTCATAGTTTAAATTTGTGTGGGCTCTTTGAAGTCGCCATTGGCCTCCAAGAATCCGTACAGATTTTAACCGGCTTCGAGCGGGACATTAAAATGTTCTATGGTTCAGCAATTTTCATGTCCTAACGGTGGGTTAAACACAGGGTGATAATTCAAAATTCTGTCTTGAAGGGTCATTTCTTTGAACTGACTCCACAATCTAGCAGACACTATTCTGTCACAATAGGTTAAGAACTACAAAATAGTTTAATTTAGTTCACTTTTCCAGCTAAAATGTTAAACTGCATGCTATTTGGAATATCCACATCACAGAAAAGACATTTGAGAACTTAAATCTACTATCGCACGGACATGACAAAGAATACAGCTCATAATTTTCCAATACTATTAATGGTCTCAGCCCTGAAATGCCATTTAATGTTAATAAACACTGGCAAACCTAACCCTAGAATTTATCCATAGTTATGTTTTGAGAGTAGATTGTTTACTTTCCCTAGCTGCCCAGTACCATAGCAAAATCCCTGACCTGTTCCCTATCATTCCCATCTACTTGTATTGTCTAATATTTGTTTGAACACTTGATTGTCCTTTCGATGTTTGCAATGACCCTAGATGTTTTTTTTTATTGTCCATATCTTTAGATGCTGCCCTCACTTTTATGGAACATTTTTCTTGACTCTTGCTGACAAAAGTGCACAAACACAATGAAAAATTCCCCGCCTAATGTCAGTCCAACTAAAGTGAGGAGTCTTTTGGATATGAATCCATCAGATATAGCCAAACCTCTTCATATTCAAAAGCTTGAACATACACTTGATGTGCGACCATTCTTGGCTGAAGTAACCAAGATCTTTGAATACCCTACCAGGTGAGTAAAGGTTTATTTTCAGGTCATTAACATAGTTAAATTTTTCTTAGCGTTTATCATTGATTTTATTATTTTTTACAGTGATCCTGATTCCAGTGAATCAGAAACTGAGTCCCAAGGAAACGATGGGGGTAAAGTTAATGGTGAAAAGATTTGTAATGGTATTCCTACATCTAAACAAGGTGGGATAAGATGCTCTTTGTTTTCATATGAATTATTATTTTAATCTAATGTTTTTTTTAAATATGCTTTTGGTTCTTTTCTTTAGAAAGGAAATCTGATAAACATAGATTATATAACTTTTCGCAAGTGGCTGGTGAAAGAGAGTGGTTGCGGGATGTTCTCCTGTCAGATTCTGAAGATTCTGCTGAAGAAGAAAATTGGACAGTAGACCAACATATTAAAGAAATGCTTTACCACCACCAACTTAGAAGAAAATATCAGAAAAAATATTATTCAAATCCTGATGTAAGTGTAATAAAAAAAATACTAAGCCTAATGAACACCATACCATTATCAAAAATATATCCTTATCGAGTTACTGTATCTATGCTTGTTTTGTTTGTTTCATTGCTAATATTATTTACAGAATTTACAGTATCAATACTATGGGGCTGGATTGCTTTCAAATTTTGATAAGTTTACTGAGCACCAGAAAGCTGTCATTGGTAACAGGAAGAAAAAGAAGAAAGAAAAGGTTGAAGTTAAAAAAAGAGGAAGAAAGCCGAACAAAGACAAACTTATCAATTCTACATTCAATGTACTACTCAAAACTCTTACGATACATTCTAATTGTTAACAATTTAGGACTTTCAGGAATGATAAGAATTTATGTTTTTTTGTTTAGGAATCTGATCTGCTTCATTTAAATGAAGAGGAACGCAATCTACTTCGTAAAATTAAAATTGAAGATGAAGCTTCTGGTGCTGCTGAGACAGGCAGAGCTCCTCGAGGTCGTAAAAAGAAACAGCAATCAACCAAAAGTCCTGAGGTTATGGCTCAAAGGAGAAGGAAGATATGGGCAGTAATGGCTAAGAAGGAGCTTGGAAAAGTATGTTCCCTCCCCTACCTTGTTGTGTTGCTTTAGAAACTACTGTATATGTTCTTGAAGCAAAATTTTGATATTTCTGTTTGGCTGCAGGTACAGCGAGGGAAGGCAAATAACCATAAGGAACAGCTAACCAGCTGCAGGAGAGTTGCCACCTACTGTATGAGGCATTGGCGCCAGAAGGCCATGCAGGTATACTTACATTATCTTACCCCTCTCCAATCCTAAAACATTTAATTTATGATTCAGTTTCATAAATATTTTGAAATTCTTCACTTACAGTCTCAAAAAAATATGAAAGAAACTGTTTGGAGACTAAAGCGTCTGACCCGAGAAATGCAAGCGTATTGGAAAAGGTATGACCGTGTGGAGAGGGAAACAAGGCGTCGTATGGAGAAGGAAGCAGAAGAGCAAAGAAAAATGGATGTTGAATTGTTGGAGGTAATAATAGAAAAGCATCGTGTTTGCTGGAATAATTTAACTTTCTCTTGTACTGTTATAAACAATGAACAATCTCCATCTAAATTGCTCACAGGCCAAGCGTCAGCAAAGAAAGTTGAATTTCTTGATTACTCAAACTGAGCTCTATGCCCACTTCATGTCTAAAAGGTTTGGTTCAATTGCTAGCCATGAGCAGCAAAGAATCCTCAGCCAACTAGATGAAGAGAAGAATCCAAGGCTGCTTGCTGTTGATGCATATGACAGGTATTTGAATGTCATTTTGACTACCCATTAGGTACAAATAATTTTTATAACTGAAGATGTAATGTTTTTGTTTTTAATTTTCAGTGAGGCTATGAAGTCAAAAGTAAAACTAAATGTTAGTCATGCATTTCGCACTGAACAACAACGGACAAGACAATTTGCACCATCGGCAACTCAGGCCCAGGCTCAGGCTGATTCTGCCATTGAAAATACTCTTACCCCACTAGAAGAGCAGCCACAACCTGCTATGTTCAGGGGAAATTTGAAACATTATCAATTGAAGGGTCTGAGTTGGGTGGCTAACTTATACGACCAAGGGATAAATGGTATTTTGGCTGATGAAATGGGTCTTGGAAAAACAGTTCAATCAATTGCTGTTTTATGCCATGTAGCTGAAAAATATGGTATATGGGGACCATTCCTCATAATTTCTCCAGCTTCCACTCTCCATAATTGGCAACAAGAAATGGCAAGGTTTGTGCCTGATTTTAAAGTTGTGCCATACTGGGGAAGCCCCCAGGAGAGAAAAATTCTTAGAGGGTTTTGGGATCAGAAGGATATGCATACTAAGGAAGCCAGCTTTCATGTAGTCATTACCAGTTACCAGCTTGTAATCCAAGACTTCAAGTATTTCAATCGTATTAAATGGCAATACATGATATTGGATGAAGCTCAAGCAATCAAGAGTCAAAGTAGTCAAAGGTGGAAGCTGCTTCAATCTTTCAGTTGCCGCAATAGGCTCTTGCTCAGTGGAACACCTATTCAGAACAGTATGGCTGAACTGTGGGCCCTGCTTCACTTCATTATGCCCACCTTATTTGATTCACATGATGAATTTAGTGAATGGTTTTCAAAAGATATTGAAAGCCATGCTGAAAATAAGACTGCCATGGATGAGAAACATCTTACACGCTTGCACATGATATTGAAACCATTCATGCTCAGGAGAATAAAAAAAGATGTTGAGAACGAACTCTCGGACAAAATCGAAGTTATGGTGTACTGCCCTCTCACAACACGCCAAAAACTTCTGTATACAGCTCTCAAAAAGAAAATACGCATTGAAGATTTGCTTCAAACAGCGGGATCTGCTCAATCTGCTCAAAGTGTTACATCTAGTCTTATGAACCTTGTAATGCAGTTTAGAAAAGTGAGTAACTGACACAAACTTGTGTATTGCAATGTATAAAATTTTTTATTTATGAGAAATTTCATCTTTACAGGTTTGTAATCATCCAGAATTATTTGAAAGAAGAGATGCAAAATCTCCATTTTTTATGCAGTGTGCTGCATATGTAGTGCCCAAGCTTGTTGCAGAATATGGCATTATTCATCAGACTGTACCCAGCAACAGACATATCCTATACAACCTCTTAAATATATTCACACCTGAATATCTTCATAGAGCTCTTAACTCAAGCTCAAATGTCCAAGACAGTCGTAAGTTGATTTAGTTTTGTATTAATTTTTTTTAATCTAAAAATAAATATTACAGCTATATGGGGGGAGGGGATGGTTTCATAGTGTTGGTAAAATGTTTCTTTGAGTTAAAATTGTACTGATTGTAAACTTATATTTCAGAGTGTTTGAATAGTGGTGCATTTGGCTTTATGCGCATTGTGGGTTTGACCCCTCAACAATTAAGTTCCATCATTCACTGTGGAATTCTTGCTATGTAAGTAGCTTTATACAATATCATATTTTTCTGTAGTCACTGATTACAGATGTTCAACCTTTTAAATATTTCTAGGTGGAACTTTGCTTGGCAATGTCAACAAGAGGCTGATAAAGCTTGCCATGAGCAAGAATGGGGGATGGCTACAGATACCCACCTAGAAGAGTGGAATTTACGAAGGAAACCATCTGATTTGTTAGTAACAAATTATACTCCATTTGCTCCATACTTCTTAAGAACAAGCTCTGTCCGTAACAGTCTGGTTTTCACTGGAATGACTTCCAGTCAGAGTACAATATACACTCACACAGACCATATATACCATTCTATACCAGAAACAGTTGAACATCGACTCCTTCGCAGCAAAAAGCTACATTCACTTTCTGGAGAAACAGTTGCAGTAAAAACTGAGCCTCTGTCACCCTCAAAGCTTTCTCCCCGCAGCCCCATTGGCAGTCCATCCAAGGTAAGGGAAGAGCATTTTGCTTTTAAACACCTACTTACCGCAGAATTTATTGATCTAGTCAGGCTTGTCAAGCTGATCAGCAGTACTGTCTTGTATTTCCATCCAAATTTTCATTTCTATTTCAGTCACCAAAAGGAACTAGTGGGCACACTGCTCTTGCCACTGCCACAGAAAGTGGACCAGGCAAAGTGGCTCTTCTTCCTGAATTTTCCCATGTACCTAGACCACCCCACACAGAAAAATGTGCACCAACAAATTTGCCAGCCTTCCTCTTCTACACTAGTCCAAAGGTAAATAAATAAGCACACATGACATATATGTTACTGGTTATTTTTATTCTTGTCACTGTTATCTTCAACTACATTATTGTTTACAGATAAATATCAGCAGTAGGGAAATGTTTGCAAGTAGCAGAGCGGCTGCTTGGAAGCTGACTGATCATAAGAATTGTGGCAATTTAGAAGCCAAAAGTGCTGTCTGGCAAGGGCCGCCATGGCTTGCCAAACAAACAGAAAATTCAAATCATTTCTTTTCACCACCTACTCCAGGAGGTTTACTCGGTTCTGCTCCTGCCTTTGGATGGTCAAGTGTTCTAATACCTGGTTAGTAGCACAAATTTTGAGAGCTTTGGGGTTATTTTCCGATTCAAGTTTTACAATCTTGATAAACGTTTGCAGACAAACAGACATTAGTTACTGATGCTGGAAAATTGTATGTCCTTGATGCACTTTTAACTAGATTGAAAGGGCAAGGTCACAGAGTTCTAATTTACTCCCAAATGACAAAAATGATCGACCTATTGGAGGTAATGCAATCTATTTCTTTAATGTGCAATTTCTTGAATGTTCCATTTGCATTTCTGTAAGTTGTTCTAACAACCATTTTTCCAGGAGTATATGTGGCATAGAAAGCATACATATATGAGATTGGATGGTTCTTCAAAAATATCTGAGCGTCGTGATATGGTTGCAGACTTTCAGTCAAGGTCAGTAAATTTTAGTTTTTATGAACTTAAAGTTATTTGTAAAACTTTGACAGTATTGCAGTAACTAATGATATTTTCTTTAATACCATGCAGGAATGACATATTTGTTTTTCTCTTGAGTACTAGAGCAGGTGGATTAGGTATTAATTTAACTGCTGCAGATACTGTGAGTTGATAGTTTTTGTGGAATGATGGAAATTCAGTATGCTTTTGTTAGAATGGCTTATTTTATTCCGATTTGTTTGCCTGCAGGTCATATTTTATGATAGTGACTGGAATCCTACTGTAGACCAACAAGCAATGGACAGAGCTCATCGTTTAGGTCAAACAAAACAGGTTACTGTTTATCGCCTCATTTGCAAAGGGTCAATTGAAGAACGTATATTGCAGAGAGCAAGAGAAAAGAGTGAGGTAAGATCACCCTAATGGTTTCCATTTTTGCAATAAATTCATTCAAATAACAATTTATTTATTTTTATTCAGATTCAACGTATGGTCATAAGTGGAGAACAGTTCAAACCAGATACACTCAAACCAAAGGAAGTTGTCTCATTGCTGTTGGATGATGAGGAAATTGAACACAAATGTGAGAAAGCAAAAAATTTTCAGTTGCTGAAATATTAATTGTAATCCAATAATTATTTTACTAATAATTTTTTCTGGTAGATCGTCAGAAGCAACGTGAAAGGCGTCAGTATGAAGAATTCCGGGAGCGAGAAAAGAAACGTCGTCTGGCAGGGCTACCTGAGACTGATACCATAACAAAACGCCCACGCTTAGAGGGTGAAGATGGCTGGGTGAATGTCGAATCCAATCCTAACAGCCCAACACAAAGTGAAGTAAGAGTTTCTTTGATAGAAAAATCTATACTTTCTTTGATGGTCTTTCATACTTATTTACTTGCTATTACTTTTTCAACCAGTGCTCTATCACCACATCTGGTGGCCTGGGTGACAAGGTGGACAATACTCCTCTGATGTATGAGAGACCTATTTCCACCACCGGTAAGTGTTGAAAATACTACTAATCTAACCGTCTTTAAAGAAGGGAAGTCGGGTAAAGTCTGGAATGTAACGCTCGCAATATCTTTCAGCTGTGCGACGAACAGGCAGAGGCGGTCGCCGCGGTCGACCAAGAGGCACTCGGAGGGGCGCAGGACGGGGTAGGATGGGTAAGTCAGTCCATTCCATCCTTGGTGCCTCCTGCGAGAGCTTGCTCATCACATTCCTACGACGCGGCTTAAACTTGACCATCCTCTTTCAGACGCCGGCGGTGTCGGGGCCATCATCGGCGAGCTGCCCAACTCGCCGGCGGCCTCCCCGGGGCTGTCGCTCGCCTCGTCTCCCGTGCCGTCGCCCGCAGCCGCATCGTCGCCCGCGCCGGCCCTGGCCGAGGCCTCCGCCTCTGCGACGCCGTCCTCCCCCGCGGCCGGCGCAGCCTCTGCCGTCCCAGCGCCACCCGTGCGCAGAGGCCCCGGCAGGCCTCGCCTCAAGCCCGGAGGGAAGCCCGCCAACACCGGGACGAGAGGGACGGGCACGAGGCGACCCCGGCGCCCCGTGCGGCCTCTGCCGGTGCCCCTGGGCCGTGTCTCCCAGCAGCCCCTGACCCAGCAGGCGCAGCAGGGTGGCATTGGCTTCTACACGCAGCGCGACATGTCCTCGCAGGACTGATGGGCGTCTTAAATTTTTGACTGTGATGAAAAAATATTGTGTTCGTTTGAACAATATTGAATGTTTCATATAGAGTAATAGGTGTATTATACTGTAAGTTAAAAGAATGAATGTAAAATTTTGTCTTAAAGTTTAAAAAAAAGATTTAATGTTAGTTGTTATTGTAGAAACCCTTAATTTTTGGAAGCCATATATTTTACAACAGTTTTGTTGTAGAAGCATTTCTTTTACTGTTGCAGATAATGAAATGCATTTAGGTTTTCTGTTTTAAATTTAAAGGTTGACATGATATTGCATTAAACAAGACTGATTAGTTATTTACGATATATTGTTTTCTTCTGTGAAGCCCTCTGTCCACTAAGATACAATTAATGACAAAGGTATCCGATCTTCCCCCCTTGTAAAATTAATGGGAAAAGAAAGTTTGACAAGTTAAGTCCAACTGAAGGTTCTATTAAATCTAGTCCAAGCTACGCTTCCTATATGTCATATAATGTATTCTTGGGTCAGGTTTCAAACATTTTTTGTAAAGACAGATACTAAGGGTTCTAACCATATGAAATACTGTGGTACCTTAAGAAGTAGGCATAGTCATCCAAATGTAATCAAGTTTTAATTATTTGATTATAAGCAAATGAATTGTATCAATTTTTTCTTACAACGTTCTAGACTGTGATGATTTTCCTGGTTATGAAAGAATGTACCTATTGTGTGTATGTGTCAGTGTTACCTGCCTACTTTAAAAAAAAAAGGTTTGTCTTTTTTCTAAAAATTTTAACATTTGTGTCTACTTATCGATTAGATAAATAAATAAACCAGCATACCCTTGTCGTTTTCTATTCAAAGACGTAGAAGTTATTGTAAGTTATTGCATTGCAGCGATTGCATCTTGGAACAGTCTCCTGCTTTCACTCGGGGACAGCTTGTACGGCTGTCTGTCCCCCCCCCCCCTCCCCGAGGGGTATACGTACTTACGTTATGTGTGTATGATGGATGATTTTCAGGGGCGACGAAGTGACAAATTACCCTGCGACTCTGGGGCTCGTCCTGGTGATGAGTGTGTGGCCACGGCGCGGCGGCGCGGGGTGGGGTGGGGGCCGCCCTCGGGGCCGCGAGCAGCATCGGCAGCAGCACAGCGAGGCCCCTGTGCAGCACAAAGGCCATTAGGGACGAAGCCGTGCACCCAAATTAGCCCCATTATCCCGTTTCACTCAAGTGCTTCCAGGGGGCGATTTGGAAAGGCGTTGCTGTTGGTGCCGCTGGTGCATGCGCGTCAGTCCCCCCCCCCCCCCCCCCCCCCCCCCCCCCCCCCCCCCCCCCCCCCCCCCCCCCCCCCCTCCCCCTCTCTCCCACTTCCCTCCCTGGTTCCCTGCACTCTTCAGTGCTCACTGTGGTACTTACCTGTCCTTGCAGAGCAGTCGCAGTCGCCTTCGATGCGTCGCAGTGTGCACGAGAGGAGGGGGGGGAGGGGGTATGTGTACACCCTGAAAAATGAGTCGCATCACGGATGTAGCCCAACTCACTCCCCAATAATCGTCACGCATGAGAACTAAAAGCAGATAAGAGCTATGCAAGTGGCGGGTCAGGTGCCACTCACCCCGCGCGCCCCTCTTTCACAGGTAGACTGTACGCCACGCACCCGTGCGGGCGGGTTGCCTACTCGCCCGGCCCGTAAGGCGCCTATGGCAAGAGACAATTTGCAAACGCGCCACGTGTATGCTGAGGCACAATGCGGTGCAAGTGACTACGGAAGTGGACGGCGCGGTGTTACATCCAACGGTTACTTACACTGCAGCGCCGCCTCTCCCGCCAGCCCCTTCCCCCCTAACGCCGCCGGCCTCACAGGCTCACAGTTATTTCAAATGCTTCCCGGGTGCTGCATGCGGTGAACGCGCGCGCACCGGACACCGCCGAGGGCCTCCCCCTGCTGCCTCCGGCCCGGCCCTCCTGTAGGCCCGCCCCTTCACCCGACACGCTTCCTTTGACACTTTCTTTCCTCCTGTCTCCGTAAAAATAACAGCAGAGGCTCTGAGCCGAGGGGCCCCTCCTGCCTGGGGCCCCGCAGCCGGGGAGAGGGCCGGTCGGCGAGGTGGTGCTGCACAGCGCACTGTCGTGAACGGCGCGCGGTGCGCGGTCGCTCCCCCTGAAGGGTTACTGCGGCAGGTTGACTTGAGAGTCACAGACCCGGACGCCAGTTGACCGCAGGTGTGGCACCCGCCAGAAAAGGCGTCCTCGGACACTTCTGAGAGTTCCTCTGCCAAAAAATAAGTTATATTCAATCATCATCGAAACTTGACAAAACAAAAATGTTCACTACGACGGGAAAGTTGGCAAACGTCAATCGATCAGAAAGGGCCACTTTTACCCTCGTCTGGAACTATCTGAAAACGCAGGAGTCGGACAGCCAGGCTTACGAGCCCCGCCGGGCGCGCCCCGGTCGGGCTCCGGCTCCAGCAGCGCTACCGCGGCGGCTCGTCGGGTAGGCAACCCGCTCGGGTCCGGAGTCCGGCGTGCGGCCCGGCCACCGCTGTCCGGCGCGACCCGCGGCGAGGCGCCCGGCACGGGCACGGCCGGCACCGGGCCGACTCGCGGCGTAGCGGAGGGGGGGGGGAGGGGTAAGCTGAGGATAGCGGCGGGGAGCGCGGCAGCGGACCCGCGACGGTGTTCAAGAGAGAGAAAGAGGCCCCCTCTGGTGCCCCCCGGTCGGCCCGCGGCCCTGGCGATGCACTGTGGGTAGAAGAGACGTGCTTTCCATTCCTTGTGCCCCTTCCTCATACAGGCCGCCTTGCGCGGTGCCGCTTGGTGCCGTCGCCGCCGTTGCCGCCTGAATATCAAGTCATTTGTCGTTTTACTATGTTGTTCCACGCTCCTTTGCACTCTCGAGGTTTTTTCTCTGAAGGTGAGCTTGCCGCCGCCGGGCCGCTGGCTGGAGTACCTTGTCGCAGGAGGGCGCGTATCTGCTAGACACCGGGGGAGGAGGGTCGGGGCATCATGACCTTCCTCCCAACCATTACAACCCAATCCCTTCCCCCTGCTCGCTCCTAGAAAAGGGGGAGAAAGAAAGTAGGGGGGAGAAAATGATAGCCTGATAGGTAGGCAAATTAAAGAGCAACTTACAGAGAGTGCACCAGGGTGTCTTTAGGGATCATCCAGATAGTACGTCCGCGATCCTCCGTTACGAACCTGACCAGATAAGCCTGTGGCCTGTGCGAGCTCTCATAGCGCCTGGTGGGTAGGCAACATCTTGTCTGCAGTGCATGCGTGTACCGCGGGGTGGCCTACCCCGAGTCTCGCAGGCGCCGAGTTCCCGCAATTTGTCGAATTCATCTGAGAAAAAAAAAACGGACTTACTTTCTGGACACTCGATTTTCGGGACCAAGTTCCGCAAGTAAATCGACAGGGTAAAATCGGCACGGTTGACAATGATGGAAATTCTATCTGGGGTGTGATGATGTATATGGGATTGGGTTGTCCTTGTGTCTCCGCCCGATGTGCTAAGAAGCTGAGAGGTCATTCGGCGTGTGTGTGTGTGTGTGTGTGTGTGAGTGCGTCCTCCACACCGGCAGCCGGTCGGTATAGTCCATTGACGTCCGGCCGGCCCCGGCCCGTCCAACCAGCCCCGCGAAGACGTGCGGCAATGCAGTCCGCACACCACACCGCGGCGTGGCGGGGCGTGGCGGGGCGTGGCGTGGCGGGGAGGAGCTGCGCGGCACTGACCTCACCCAAACCCGACCGGCAGTCTCCGAAGCGAAGAGAAAATATCTCATCGTATAGGTAGATGCGCATCCCTCCAGTTTTTGTCCAACATCCCAGCACTTCCCCATTTCGCTGTCACTGCATTCTCGGCGCCCCCACAGCTTGTTGCTATGTTGCTAAGGTCATGCGTCGTCGTGCTCATACGCAGCCCAGCGAGGGCGACACTCTTTAAAGTCTCTTCTGGCTAATCTTCTGGCTTTCCATTGGCTTTTTTTGTTACCTCCAAGCGCAACGCAGGGCAAATGTTTGTCCAGTGCCCTTGTCCTGTGCCCGTGCCGTCTACTTGCTGATTTATAGCGCACTGCTCCCCTCCCCCCCTCTCTCTCTCTCATTCCCGCTTCCTCAGTACCCCTTCACCTCGCCCCTCCTCTCACTCTTTCCCCCCCCCCCAACCTTTCTTTCTACCTCCCTACCCAGTCTCACTCATGGAATCTGCTGCCCCTCGCTATACGCCCCCCTCCCCCCTCCTCCCTCCCTTTCCCTTTCCCCTCCTCGGAAAACGAGCCGCGATTTTAATTCTCGAACACCGCCGCCGCCGCCTACCTTTTGTAAGAATTCGGCAAAGCGGATGTGATGCGGATAATCGACGCAGGAGGAGGAGGAGGAGGAGGGGGGGGGGAGAGGGAGGTAGGTGAGAGGGAGAGAGGCCGAGGTATAATTAAGGCGTGCAGGAGGAACCCGCTTCATTATGATCGTGGAGGAAATTGTGTCTCGTCTCCAATCTGCGGGGAGAGAGAGAGAGAGGGAGGCGGAGCAGCAGCCATTTTCAAGTGATTTCCAAGCCCAAAGTATTCTAAACGCCCTGTTGCGGCTGCGGCTGCGGCTGCGCGTCGGCGGTGTGTCGTGTTATGGCTGAGCAGCAGAGCAAGTGCATACCCTCTACTTTGCTCTGTTCCGATCAGGGGCGTGGAGAGGAGGAGGGGGGAGTCTGCTGTCCGGGTGTGCTCACGTTTTACTCTTCAAAGCGCGACGCCCTCATCTTCTCTCCCCCAGCCCTCCTCCTTATTTTCCCTCCTTTCAAATAATATGATTTTATAATTCCAACATAAACGCTGCTGCTGCTGCTCCCTTGCCGAGTGGACCAGCAGCAGCGCGGCGGCGGGTCGTGTCGAGGGCGGCGAGGACCTGGAGGAGCTGGAGCAGCAGCAGGAATGCAGCACGACGACCCAACAACACACACACACAACACACACACACACACACACACACACACACACACACACACACACACACACACACACACACACACGCGCGCGCACCGTACCTTCGACTCGAGAGCAGCCCCGCACCGCCCCGCTACGGCGACAAATTTTACGAGAGGTTGTTAGTGGTTGGGCAGCGGGCCGACCGGTGGCGCGGCGGGAAGAACAGGGCCTCCGTTGGGTCCACGACGATCAGGACATTGTCGTTACCGTGTGGGGCCTTGCTGGCTTCACCCGACCCCACCTCCTCCTCCTGGCCCTCCGCGGCGTGACAGGGCGTAAGGGACGGGGGCCGAATAGGCAGCAGCAGCAGCAGCAGAAGGGCGGCGGCGCGTCGGTGATGGTGCTTGTAGCCGGTCCGGGACAACAAAAGCAAGATGGATCGGTGGCGGCTCGGCTCGGGCCTGGAGCCCGCCCGGTTGACGTGTAACGCGCCAGCGTGTGGGCCGTGGGCAGCGACTCCCCTCCCGCCCCCGCGGCGCCCCCGGCCCCTCCCTCCCCCTCCGCGGGGCCCCTCAACCCCTTTCGCCTCGATGACACCTGCGGCCCTAGCGTCACCAGGATTAGCCTAACGCGCGGTCGTTGAGGCGGGTCGCGCTCGCACCGGGACGCGGCGCCGCGGTGCGTCGCGCGTGTCGATAGCTCTAACGACGGAGGAGCGCGAGGCGCGGGTCGTTTGGATCGTTACATTCCGTCGTTATGTCACCGGACGGCCTTCTCTGGCCTTTGGCCGCCCCCCGCCGGCCTCCCCGCCGCCATCGCCGCCGTCGCGGTGCACAGCCGAAAGTGAAGCAGCAGCAGCGGCGCCACGACGACGCAACATGTAACAACTAAAATGGCGCAAAGATTTTTTAAGGCGCGCGCGTTCGTCATGGCTGTTAGGGGCTTTATTGAGAAGAGTTTGCCGACCAGACGAGGAGGAGCAGGAGGAGGAGGAGGAGCGGGGAGAGGGCCTCGAGCGAGGGCGTGACGCTTGGGCGCGTGCCGTGACGGGGGGAGGGGAGGGGCGGGGGCTCCTCGTCTCACACCGCCCTGTGCGGTGGCTCTGCTCGTCCTGGCGACCCTTCTCCAGTATACCGCCCAAAGCCACGGACCACGACGCCATTCTGTTTCATCAAGGTTATAGGGATGGTGTAGGTAGCAGGCACACAGAGGCTATGCCTTGTCAGTAGGCAACCCCCTATCCCCTATACCTCCCACCACCACTCGTTTACACGTAACTGAACTTTCGACGAAAAATTAATGAAGAGAGGCCTTGATTTGCCCATGATATTGTGTATCGTGATCGACATAGTTCCGCGACCACACCGCCGCCGCCCATCTCGCCGCATCACGGCGCTAATTAACGACGCTCGCCCCCCCCCCTCCCCTCGCCCCCACCGTCTCCTTTACCGCGAACAGAGTGCGAATGCATTATGTATGAATGGACTTTACTCGGGGCCTTACTCCTCGTTCAGCCGCCGGGGAGCAGCGCGCGGCCGGGCCGCGGCCGGCGCACTTTAGAACACGCGCACTATGGTCCCAACTGGTCCCGCCGCCGACGCTCTTTATAATAATTTTGACCTATTTTATAATTTTTAC